TGGTTTTTAGGGGGAATGGAGGGAGGATCATTTTGTTCATCTCCATCCATTCATCCATTTATTTGTTTTTTCGCCGATTAAAAATGAACAAACCTTGATGCCAACATATCCGACTGGCTGCAAGGGCGTGGTCAGATCAGGTAACGCGTGCTCATCAAGAGGATGGTTCACCATTATCTTTGTAGCCACAGTGATAAAGTCTGTGCCGACTGTTTTGGATACGAAAGGAAAGGAACGAGAAGCACGTAGATTGCACTCAATCACCTGGCAGACGGGAATAGGAAAATACATAAAGCAAGTTACATTTTGGTATCACTGGCAGCCCCGCATTCTAGATACCCCTGGGGTAGGCGTTACCCAGAGAGGAACGAAAAGCGCATAGATAGTACTCAATCACATGACAGCCTCGCATTTCTCTCGGGTAGCCTTTGTCTAGATTACCTGTTCGAGTGTGAGGAAAATCTCAAATGTAAGTCATTGAAAATCTAGTATTATAGATACCCCTCAGGTAGCTGTTGCCCACAGTACCTGACGGGTTGGGAGAGTAAAAGACAAAAGATAACTTGCATACCGGTACCCCTAGGAACCCGTTGTATAGATACCCCTGGGGTAGCCCCTGCCCAGATTACCAAGCCTAAGAAAGGCTTATCTTAAAGAGAATACAATTTATCGGATTGAGAGACATCAGATCAGAACTGACCGGTATGGAAAACTAAAAAAAAACAGTAGATAAAACAGTAGTATTTTAGCGTAAAATAGAGACTGGTTTTTCAATGAGAACACAAAATAAAAAAAATAGTCGTAACTGATCAACATAAAACGTTTTCAATAAGAATTCAAGAAAAGAATGATGTACCTAATTCATTGAAGATAAGAAGTACCTTAGCACCCTTGTCTAGTATATAACAACATCCATCATCTTACCATGATTTCATTATCTTTGGCTAAAAACTGCGTGTTGAACGGACCCGAAATGTTGAACTTTTCAGCAATCTTCCTGGTTGCTTCTTTTACCTGTTAAAATGTTTTAACAATGTGTTACTGAAACAAGATGCTTCAAACCCTCCAGCCCTAAAACCAGATAACTGTCCACGTCTATCGTCGTACGACGTTTGTAAACGATTTATTGCCGCAAAAGAGAGAAGAACACCCTTAAGAAATTTCTCTACTGAGTACGGTGCAATAGAAAGAAAAAGGCCCAAACGGATAGGTGATCACACAAACCTAACCACACCCAAACGTGAAAGGTAAGGCAACTTTATTGTTAATCAGCTACTTATAACTCGTGCAGCACGTGACGACTCGTGCAGCACGTGGAAGCACGTGCTAAGCCCCACGCACATAGTTAGATTGATTGAGGATTCCCGTTCTCAAAGTTATTCAAGTGTTATACATTTTGATTGGTCCTCACTCATAACTCATTGAGGGACAGACGCACAGACGAAGTCACCATTAGCAACACTTTGCCTCTTCATTTTAAGAAACAAATAGACTACATGTTCCCGTGGGTCAGTTCAGTGATAGATCACAGAGGATGCCAAAACGTGATAAGAACATGAACATCAGTGGCTTCCTCTTGTGCCACTTTTTTGTTTTAACCACATTTTGACATCTTCTCTAATCTGTTACTGAACAGACGCTCGATAACATGGAATCTATTCATCAAACAGCACATTGTAAGGTTCTCTGACCTGGGCGATGTCTTCTTCACTGATTGTCTGTGGAGGCAAGATGAGGGTGGCATCCCCTGAATGGACGCCAGCATTTTCCACGTGCTCAGAAATAGCATGGGCGACGACCTGGGGCGAAGAACCATATGGGCAACGCATCAGTATCAAGAAACTATGAATAATCCAATATTGCGATAAAATTTTCCTTGAACGAGACTCACTTAAAGGGAACTACACCAACCTTTCCATTCTTAGCTACAGCATCCATTTCGATTTCCCGAGCGCCCTCGATGAATTTCGTCATCACAACAGGATGGTCCTGAATTCAAAACAAAAAGACAAATCTGGAGAAATTCTCACTTGAGAGCTGATTGCAATCATCGATTCAGGCAGACTCGACTTTCTGCCAGCTCTAACACCACAGAAAATTAAAAAAAGCGAACATACCTGTGACACCCTGGCAGCCTCTTGTAAAAACTTTTTCAGTTCAACTGGACCGTAAGCTACGTTCATGGCTGAGCCACTGCACAGAAAGGAAACAAATAAAAACCCTCTATTATTTTCAGCCAATACGAGTCTAATATCAAACACGTCACGTGACATATCACGTGCTACCCATCAGCGTACCCTTTCCCGCGCTTTCCCCCATTCCAATTTTTACGTTACCAGTCTTTTCACGGCCCCAATCAAACTTTCCATCATATTTCGTCTTGGCCATTATTATATTTAGTTATTATAATCACACGTAAGGTTTTCACTTCGCGACAAACAGTTTTATTATGTTCTTTACCTCAAGACGTAAGAAGGTCTGAGAAGACATGGGTACCCAACGGTGGCAGCAAAATTCAACGCGTCATCCTAAAACAACAATAATAAAACAAATAAATAAACAAACAATGGAGTAAAATTTCATTTAATTTCCAAGTTACAAATTAAAATTTTCAACGTTACGACAGTGATCTGAAAAGCTCTCACAAAAACAGCCACTCACCACGGAAGAAACGGCTCTCCAAGGCGCTTGGCCAACTCCAATCTCGTCAAGAGTTGCAGAGAAGCGAGATCTACGAGAAATTAAAAAGTCCTGTGAGCGAGATTGATCAGAGCACAACTCTTTTCCACCAATCGTGAATCGTGTCTTACCTTTCTTCAGCCGCGTCTATCATCAGGGGAGAGGTACCAAGGACATTAACACCATTCATGTACAGAGGGAGCGCTAGGTTATTGGGGATTTGTCCACCAACTGAGATCACAGCACCATTACAAACCTGTTAGATATGAAAAAGGAAAACTAAATCCTTGGTAATTGAACTAACCACCGTCGGGTTTTCATATTCCGCGCGTTTCATCTATTCTGCATTTTCCCGCTCCCACAGCCGTTTGCCCATATCTCACTCGTACCAACGACTCGGTACCCTTAGCTTTTACCAATCTGTTTTTATTTCCCACGCGTGTGATCGATTCTTCATTTCTGGGCCGACTCTCCATTTCCCGCACTTAATATCCAACATAATTTTCCCGCCGAAACCACTGGGTTTCCTTTTGCCGCGCGTAGTTTCCCGCCCTATCAGCAGGTTACCAATTTCCGCGTGTAATATCGGTTATACAACCGACCACAATTCCCTCCCCCAATCTCTCACTACCAAGTATATCACAAAGTCGCCTTGTTGATATGGCCTTGACGCTTCGAAATCTGATTAGTTCATGGCGTTATTTGGCACTGTCGCGAACTAGATCTGTGATTCATTGTTATTTTAAAACGGTCATTACAACCCTTCATAATCTTTCTATGTGTTGCATATTTACCGCCTCAAAAGACTTACCTCCTGCTGGTAAATGTCTAAGACTCTTTCGAGGGAAAGTTCCTCAAAGTAAAGGCGATCACATTCATCATAATCTGTGCTGACAGTCTCTG